CCGTTTCTGCTCTTTTGTTTCTGATGATGGATTCGAGTAGGAATCCGAAACGTCAGGCTAATGAAGCTCTTGTCCCGGCGATCGCGTCTCCTTCTTCAAGTTCGACTTTTACTTATTTTCTAATCAACGCGGTCATTCCAGGTGCTATACTAAAGCGTGCGATGAGACAATCGGAAGAAATCCAAGCAATTTCTTGTTTTCTTACGCTTCATATTTTGTGTCTGGCGTGCTATCTCGTGTGAAAAACCCCCATTACCACCATTCCCGTAAGACATAATCCACAGCCTGCTGATGGTTGCGTGGCGTCTTTAACCCTACCGTTGCCAATGAAACTTCTTAGCTACAGGCGACGTTCACTGTTGTTTCAGCAGGATTAGTGAGTCTTAGTAAGTCCATCTACGGATCATCGCTGACGCTGCCGGCTGTAATTCCGCAGAGCCGTCTCGTTAGTTACATTCACTTATATTCTTAGAACTGGCAGTAAATCAGTGTTTTGATTGTAGGAACAAAATTACAGCTTGAAGAAAAGAACCTAGGCTAGGGAGTAATTGTGCTGATCGATGTTTTTGACGTCGTACTTGAATGCATAATGGGGCAAAAAGTATATGGACAGTACAGAGTGTTACCTGGCCTTTTATTCCTAACCTCTAATAGTCCTCATAACGGCCTGATAGTTGACGTTTGTCCGTTCTAATTATGACACATAAGCTCGCAGACTGTTTTCAGGTGGAATCAGATGATCACGCAGTTGCCAATGGAGTTTTACTTCTCTATTACTGCTCATTTACCTAGGATCGGCATCCTTATTTGGGTCGAAGACTGATAAAATGAGTTGGTTACGAAATCGATGTGCATCTGTAACCTATGGGAAATTAAAATATACACAATACATCCTAAACGTCATTTAAAATATGAATTCCCAACAGTGTTGCGTAAACAGGAGGTAGGTTTCGGATGTTTCATATGATTACAAGTCCGGACAGTAGAAGAAATGGTACAGGTGTCTCCGAATTTGAAGTCGACAATTAGCGTGAAAATAAGAGCAACTGTCCAATACTGGAAATCTGCATCAAATACAAAATCTGCTTACAATTAGTTTAATAGCATTTGGAGAATTAAAGTCTGAATTTAATCCGAATTAAATCCGAAAAATCATGAATCAGCGGAAAGGCGACTACTGTGGGTCAAGAAACATTAAGATGGAATAGGTGCATTTTGTTCGAGCTGCATTACATATACCAAAACCGGCAGTTTGCCAAACTCTAGAAGGGACAATGACAGAAGATGCTTGGAAGATCCAGGCAGTTCAAACGTAAACAAAGGCGAAGAGAGAGTCCTAGGAGGCATTTGTGAAGGAAATACAATCGCTGAAACAAGAGATTAACTAGCCCGATGTTTTGGATTCCCGCTAGAATCCACCATCAGAGAAAACAGCAGATAAAGTTAGTTCATGCACAAGGGGCTTAGTACTTATAGGATGCAGGCGGCATGCTACGGCATACCTTTAAAAATTCACGGCTCGTTCCTTCATCAGGCACTGGCGCACTTGGTGTGATGATTATTCGATGTCCGACATTCTAGTTGTTAATCATTGCAGTTCCATCATGGGTGTTTGATGTTGGTATGATGATTGCTTGACCATCTGCCCCCCCCCCCCCCCCCCCCCCCCCCCCCTAATCTGACATTGGGAATAGTGTTCAGGTGTTAAATGAGAAAGACTACCCCGCGAGATTACACTCATGTCAGCTGGAGGCTTTTCACCTGTGTCTTCAACGTCCTACTTATCAGATGAGCCTGATCATTTGCTGCGCTATACTGCTTACCACTCCTGTCATAATGGGTTGAATTTTACAGACTCACGTCAAACCAGTTGTGCACTAGAGACTACTTTTGTTGAATGAATTTGGGAATCAGAATCACAAATGTAAATAAGGAAATTACCCAGCAGCATTTGACTACTGAGTCCAGTGGATTGTAAAACCCGTTTATGAAATGTCACTAGTGATGACAGTTGTGTTAAGGGTGCTATACATTTAAGCACACACCAGAGGCTGTGTCATTTCAGGCGCCCTAAGCAGGAGGAGTAAATAGGGTAATAAGATGAATGCGCGCTGGTTTATAAAGGCAGGATTGAAAAGAAGGAGACACGAGCACGATCTTATCCCTTCCTTTCAGGTTGCTTCCTGAAATTCCACTCTTTGCTCCTATTGGCAAAAGGTAAGATTCCACTTTATACGTCCTATCTACAGCGTCTTCTATACTGTGGGAAAGTTTATGCAAACAGGACGTTGCACAACTACTCGATACCCACCACATACAAATTGTACATAATGTCCTACAGCCGATCCATTTCAAGTAGCCTAATTCCATGATTGTGAGATTGAGCACTATAATATCTTACGGAAACGACGACGGTTTTTGCACGGGAAAGCAAGGGAGCAGTCGGTTCCGAAGTAACCATTGGCCTCCCATAGTCAAGCGACGACGCCCAGCGGAGTCGAAAATAGCGTGCTGAGGAGGCCGGTAACAAGGTGTTCCATGGACACCGAGCATGTTATCGATCCAGGACTGGCATTTCGCACAATCTTGTCTTAGGCTGGCTCAGCGGCAATGCAAAGGAAGCCAGACATCTTCAGGAAAATAAATCAAGTTATTAACCTCAAATTGCCCTTGTAGATAGGAAGCAATAATTAGAGCCCTCTTGCCTTCACGTTCCATCCTAACGACTAGGTTAAATCACAAGTCCTTTCATTACGTGTGCGTTCTCTTTATCGTTGCAAGATGTTCCAAACCAGTTTAGCAATTGCACAACGTCTGCGAGCAGATGAGAACGCCCTCAAAATTAGGAAGAGATCAAATCCCGTCTCACTTCCTAGTTTAACCCTAAACAAACGCCATTCTGGAATATGTTTCTAAAGGAAAAAGAAACGAGACCTCCACACTCAACTGCAGTCCTTAAGCGGCCATCTGCATCACAGGCGCTTACGTCTGGCACGATTCACATAATTGTTTGTTCATCAGGCCGGCAGGAATAACTTCGACTTTGGAAATGCTAAGCTTGCAAGGGGCTTGCCTCTAGCAACCACATAATACATGAATTCCAAATGACTGTCAGTGCAAATCAACTCGTAATTCAGTTCTAATTATGAGCCCTTCGTTGAATTCTGCGCGAGGAAATGCGCCTTTTCACCTTAAAAGAGCTGTAGTCTTCCGTTAAATAGCCTATGAGACTAGCTGCAGTGCTTTCTTGAGCCTTTCATTCAAATAAATCTAGAGAATTTTCACTAGGTGACCGTGGGCAGAATTATACAGTTATATGGTGGGAGGTATAGCAAAGCCGGTCAAGAATTCAGTAAGGTTTTAAAAAATACCTCTTTGAAAAACAAACCTCCTGGGGCTGGACATCTCAGCGCCCGCCCGCATAATACTCTCGAGTTCCCTCAACTATGCGTGGTTTTATTCGATTCTCGTGCTTCAGTGAACCGAAGAATATTAAATTCATTTTAATTTTGAAAATTCCATAAAAAGACAGTATATTGGATTCCTATGAAACCACGTTGTTCATACAAAAAGTCGGAATGGGTCGTGTCTGATTTACTGGGATCAAACCGCAGTTGAATAACTGTTGAGAACCTCTTGCAACAAATCTGACCACCTCAAATTATACAAGAGTTGTTGGGGCTTACGCTGCCAATTACTGACATTTGATGTGCTTCTTGAAACCGAAATTTCCCTTTGTTTAGGGTAGTATGCTTCAGAAAAATTAATTTTCGTATAAACAGTTCATAAGAAATAATGGCGAGGTTTGGTCCTGCAGCCCCGCTTGATTGATACTGTATGGTGAGCTTACGCGAACAATATTAGATAACATACCTAACTTAGCTACTGGCGGGATTCGGAAGGGGAAGAGAGTGAAATAAGAGCTCGAAGCACGCGCAGGGAAGCGATTGATGGTGGCATGTTCACACTCATCATCTGACAGCCGCTTGCTGGATGACAGTTCGACCATCGGTTTCGATGATGTCCACCGTGTGCCCCACAGTTGCAGCAGCAATGGGAGCAGGGACGGTGACTTACGCAGGGGTTTATAGTGCCGGTAGACTTGCGTAGCATCTACCTACACTCTCTCCTCCTCCCTCGCCCGAGCCCGGTGTCAAGACAGAGTCAAGAAGACCGGAGACGAGAGAGGCCGCAGGTGGATGGCTCGGACGGATCCTCACCTTGGCGTTCCACCACACCCCCTGGTCCACACAACAATAACCAGGCTTTCAACCAACACAACATAGATTTGGAGGCTGGCACGGCCGAAGCCGCACCTGGGCGTGCCGCCAACGCCTGGCTCGGATCCCACACTGTGGTGGGAATGCCATAAAGGCCACATTAAAAAGGAGCCATTGCAGCCTGACTCTCAGACCGCCTCCGGTCAAGGAGGAGGTCCAA